GTAATTTGCAAATGCTATCTTGATATCTTATGACTCATATCCTTGAATTACTCAAACTTGATGTGTTAACTACACCCTTGAAACATCCCGCTTGATCAATCTTGAAAAGATTGAATTCCATTCTTTGTATCAAAATAATAAAACCACGATTCTTCATTAAACAAAAAGATGTTTTATGATACCGATCTTTGAAAACTATACCTTGTGGAATACGTGACTCGATCACAATAGTAAAACTACCTTGACTTGAACATTATGCTGAACCTCTCTTTGTGGACCACAAAACAATCAATACAATTACGTTATCTCTAAAGATCATTATCGATGATCTTATTGACCAAGCAAACTCCATTATAACCCTGACAAGGAAATGTGTATGCAACAACCAGAGAAGAAATGACGTCACAAAGAAAAGCTAAATCATTCAAGCAAAAATTCCGAACCTATATGCAATGTTGGTGTAAGAACTAGTAAAGATCCCTCACTCTATGAATTCGTGAATTGAATCACATACCGAAGATATTTTTTTCTTCCCTCGAAACGAGATCAGCCATAGTGCTAATATCGAATATGTTGCTATCATATCTAGATATGTTTTCAAATTAATAGAAAAAGTTTGAATACGACAAGTCGTACATGAGACACTACTCAAACGTCATCACCTATGAATACGAAGACTCATTAAACGATAAATGAGCGCTACCATGAAGTGAATGAAGAAATGTTTCGATGCAAATCGATGATAACAAGCTACTGTACAATCAATCGAAAGTACTTCCTTATAAATGATGACAAATCCCATATTCTGAACCGATGAAAGCCATTTAATGTTATTTACGAGTCATTGATGGACTATGTGAACGATGTGAAGATGTTTTGAAACAAACTCTAAATCCCGAACTATACCTATCATGAAGGTGATGATTCGAAACTACAAAGGCTATTAAAGAACTTTCAATCAAAGAAGGAATGTTGTTGAGTAATGACATACAATCGAGACTTGTGAATGAACGAAGTGATGTGCAAATATGTTAAATATGCTCCAAAATACGATGTTATACCGTACAAAGGAACCTAAGTTATGGAGGTTGAATTTGACCGGGAACCCGCAAAAGGATCGTTGGAAACCTTACTTAATCTAAGATTGTTAATCTCTTGAAGAAAGAACGAGTTTGATAAACATCGAGAATACGTATCTGTGTGGATAATGACGTAATTATAAATTAACCTGACGCGGTCATGATTGTCGTAAATACAACAAGATATCGACTGTGGAACCTCAAAAGAATTTCAGGGACGAAATTCCTTTTAAGGGGGGAAGAAATGTAACGCCCCAAAATATACCCTAGAATTATTAATGAATAATTATTCAATTAATCAAATTTGTTTTGATTAAAATAAATTGTTGTTGGGCTTTGGGCCAAAATAAAACATATATTGATATCCAATATCACAATCTGGATAAATCTCATAGAGATAAATCCAATATGTTGATTTACTGTATGATCTTAATTTGGGGAACCAGAGTATAGACCCAAATTAGGGATTTGTTTATAATGTGAACTTTGAAATGATTTAATGAAATAAACTATGAAAATAAATAACATGAATTAAATATATGAATTTTATTGAATAAAGGTCAATTAAATGAATTTTGACTCTGTCAAAATCAACCACCCAAAAATATGATGTCAGAAAAAGTATTACAAATAAATATGAAAATTATATCATTATGTAGAGTTTGACTGTCTGACCCCAACGGTTCAATCGGATTTCAATTCGGAGAAGGTTGGACCAAAAAGTGTACCCCGATTGGAACCAAAATTGGTCCCAATCAGGGACACTGTGCGAACGGCGCCTCCTAGCGCACTAGCCGATCACAGGATCATGGAAATGACGATGCAACCTATCTTCTTCCCCACTTCAACCCCTATATAAGGGAGAGCTCATTTCCCATTTTCTACACCATTCTTTCTACAATTTAGTGCAATAGAATCCTGTGAGTGAGGGGAGTAATCTGATAGTATTAGTTGTCGTCAAGTTCGCCGGAGCAAGACGTGGTGCTCGCCGGAAGTTTCGCCGGAAAATTCTCAAAACCTTCGATAAGCTTGGAGGTAAGCCCGTAGATATATCTAGTGACTAGAATGTTCATATAGATTGTTTGTACGTTCATAAACGGTCGTTTGGTTGAGTTTTGTGTTTGACATGTTTGAAGAACCAAGAATCATAAACAATTAAATTGTTGTTAAAATTACGAATTAATGACTCTAAAATGATCTGTGAACATTGGAGAACATTTTTATATAATTAAATTGAAGTTTGGTGATTAAAAATGATAATGTTAAAACTGACCCAAGGAAGAAGATGATGAACAGTGGCCGAAAATCGATTATTTACTTACTAAAAATCGATTAGAATTTTATTCAGATTAGTAGTTCAAAGTCAGTACCATTTAATCGATTATTTAAATTGTAAAAATCGATTATTATGAATTAATTGATTATTTATATTGTAAAAATCGATTATTATGAATTAATTGATTATTTAAATTGTAAAAATCGATTATTATGAATTAATTGATTATTTAAATTTTAAAAATCTATTATTATGAATTAATGGATTATTTAAATTGTAAAAATCTATTTTTTATGAATTAATCGATTATTTATATTGTAAAAATCGATTAAAATTAATTAATTGATTATTTAAATTGTAAAAATCGATTATTATGAATTAATGGAGTATTTAAATTGACAAAATCGATTTTTTATGAATTAATCGATTATTTATATTGTAAAAATCGATTAAAATTAATTAATTGATTATTTAAATTGTAAAAATCGATTATTATGAATTAATTGATTATTTAAATTGTAAAAATCGATTATTATGAATTAATGGATTATTTAAATTGTAAAAATCGATTTTTTATGAATTAATCGATTATTTATATTGTAAAAATCGATTAAAATTAATTAATTGATTATTTAAATTGTAAAAAT